CTCTCCCCTCCCCCTTCTTACCTTACTTTCTTCTTCTTTATCTGCATATATCTACTCATTCCTCCCCTCACTCATCTCTCTCTTTCGCCATCGTGGTCACTTTATACTCAACAATCCTTATCTTACCAGTTCGTAAACTCTTTCTGCCATCGAAACCCATTAACCCCGAACTCCTAAATTAATTGCGACCTACGTCGTATCACTCAGTAAATCCAGTTTCTCAATATAACTGGAATGGAACAATCTGAGTCTTTCCTCTTTCTCGCCAAATCCTTGGAATTATACATCAGTAAACAGTCCAAATATAACTGGAATGGAAAATGAGTTCCTCTTGCCTTAGGAACTTAATTCTGTCAAGGTATTATTTTAGTATGCAATCTCCTAGCAGATGATAGTCTTGCATATATTCATGATGAAGGCTTCCATCTATAGGTAGGTTCTGTTTCATATTAAAGATTCTTCATTCCATTGTAACAATGGATAGCTTAATCATTCTACTTCACAGGCTTTGCATGAATATGAAAAAAATATAAACTTTTTCACTATTTATTAAACATACATTAAAAAAATATCAATTCAAGATATCTTGCCATACATACAAGAAAATTGTACAATCTAAACAGAACGTACCAAAGAAAAAAGTAGTCACTAAAAAACAAATTATCAATGTATATATATATTTTATTATAAAACTAAATCTTCTACAATAACAATAAAACATATATGCACCACTATAATGTATATTTCCAATACAATCTGTAGTTACTTAACCAAAAAAAGTTATATCCTGTAAATAAATTCATACTCTTGAAGTACAAACCACTTAAAAAATAGGGAAAGTTTTGTGCAGCTGTGTAAATAGCCATTTGGGTTAAATGTGTGTGGGTAGTTGGGAGTTTCTGTGGGTATGAATGTGTAGTGTTATGTGAATATGGATGCACAGGTATGTGGGTGTGTGTGCGCCACTAAAGGGTGGGAGCAAGTATGAGTACATATGTTCTCTGTTGAATGTGTAATAATATTAAAGGAATATACTTTTATAAAAATCACTAATGGATATACGAAGTAACATTGTGCACAGGTCAATATATATTTCACAAATTTCCCTGCCTACCTTTAATGCAAGTTACCAATTCTGAGATAAGCAATTTCATAAAGCTCTACTAACTGATAAATAATACTGTTCATCAACTGATCAACACTGAGGTTTGCATCATATTTTTATATCAAATCAGTACAAAATTTACACATTTCTCACTTCACTAAACTCAAACTACAATTAGTAACTACCATAATTCTGTTTCATATAAGAGAAGGAAGAAACATTTATAATAAACTAGACGTAGGCATTTCAAGACTGTGATTTCTCATCTCTTAAAAGCTTACACTACTTGTGAAACTATATTTACAACCACATACATTTTTACAACCAATATTCCAAAATATACAACACCTGAATATTTCTCTTCATATGTGTTGTTAGTTTTAAATCCTCATTTCCTAAATCAACAGGATATAATAGCAAAAAATATATAAAGGAAAAGGAATCAATACCATATATGCTATGTACTGTACCTGTCTTATGAAAAGAGAAATTCACATGAAGTATAGTATTAAATCTCGCATATCACACAGTATCCTTCAGTAACTTCCTCTTACAACTTCCATAAGGCACGCTTAAACCACAAGCGTTCTTGTGTTCATTTATTTCCTTAATAAAACCTTAATTAAGCTCTCACTTTCCTTGGTGCTTTAATGGTCTCTCTCTCTCTCTTTCTCACTCACTAAGTATATATACATTACATAATAAATCCTTTGGTCCTGGAATCATGAAAATGATAGATAATCTGTGTAGTTTGTATTATAAGACCAGTTGACTTCGCCTTTCACTTTTTGTGCATGGTTCGCATGTAACGTGACTAACCTCAATAGCATAAAGGGAAATGTATAGAAAGATTATATGGTTGGGAAAAGAATGTCTTTATAGATCTATGTAAAATTCAAATTTCCTGCACAACCTTTGGCTTTATAAAATTACTAAGTACACAGGTTTATCTACGTCAGATTTTCATTCCTTATATATATAAAAAAAAAAAAAAAAGTTTGTTCCATATTACTTGTCACAAGTAACTCCAATATTTACAGGAGTGCAATATTTAAGCTCTAAAGTGGGCTTCTTATATCAAACTTCATAAAAACACATGTGATAACCAATTATCTATCATAATGGATGTTTCTACCTTGAGCATAAAGATCAACCTTTCCATCTTTAGTAATAAAAGCTTAATACAGTGCTGCTCAGACTAAACAAAAGTACTCCAAAAATACTTGTCATATCCAAACCCTTTAAGGAGGTAGGACATAGAATCACATTCTGTCTTTACTTGTTGGGAAAATTAGCTAGTTCCTTATCTCAGCATCTGTTCTGCAACTCCAGATATTCAACGACAGCAAGAATGCCGCCAATTAATCCTTTACAAATGAAATAGGGTAATTGTTGTTCTTGGTTATGTGCGTACACTGGATGACACACTGCAAGTTATCAAAAAAAAATATATATATATAAAAAGTAATAATAATAATAATAATAAATAAAAAGGCCTAATTATCAATATTATAAATAACCTAATTAGATCAATTTGAATCTAAATAATGGTTTATCAGAATCCCAAGCAGTCTTCTTTCCAACCTGTGTGCACATGAAATTCTGAACCAAAAGACCAATCTAGAATTACCATGACCTAAACAAATTAATGAATGGAGAAAAAGGACACAGAGAAGGAAGAGGAGAGACACGGAGAAAGTATGCTAATTACTCACTTTCACTGATATTCTACTTCTCTAACTTCTGTACCAATTAATTCTAAGTACAACAGTAAAAAAAAAAAAAAAAAAAAAACATACATTTGCAGCACCATTAAGTCAGTCAGGCAAATCCTCTTTAATCTCTATGATGATAATAAAACAATATAATCTGAACTTGGCAGAAGATCAGACATTCCCTAAGGCAAAGTACCAGTTTTTCAAAATTATAAAATTTGCACACTCAATACCAAGCATATGGTATTCAGTGCACAGAAATATATTAGCCATCTGAATCCATTTTTTCTGCTACACTTTTGTCAAGGAAGAGATTATTATAGATGAAATAAAATTACATAATAATACTCTCTATTAACTATTACAACTCTTTGAAAAATGAAGAAATATATCACAAGGATGTACATTTTAGCAGAAAAATAGTATCCATGAATGACCAAATGTAAAAATTGTCAACAATAATTAGCACTGATAATAAAGTCTAATGTCACAGTGTATATCTGTAATTTACATTATTTCTTGAGCTACCATTTGCACAAAGCTTTTGTCACAGGCATAAAATGTTTTCATGTTAGCCATAATAAAAACAATCTAAAATGCTTATCTGGCTGCCTCCTTAAAGGGTAAAGTATACATTGCACCACAAATATGGAGGCTTAATAACAATAAATGTCATATGCTATACCACATATCAAAACTGACTATGTACATTACTGGAGCAAGAATTGTGTGCATTACAAATTATTAATGTTATCAAATCTGATGTATTTCCTGTGATGAAGTGAAGGGATCAACATATGCACATTATAAATTGCACGTACGTGTATCTGTATATATGCATCAGTGTGTAACCAGAGACAAATATATGGCCAGCCTGCAAAAGTGACATAAACTGGAATGAGTTCTTTGTTTAATCAATTCAATACACTCATCACTAATATGTTTTGTTTCTCATGGATATCTGAAGGACCTAAATCCGTCATAAAGAGAATAAAAGGAAATATGCATTTGGTCAAAATGAATTCATAAACATTTAAATGCAAATTACTCTTAAACAATAACTAACAGGAATACTTGATATGAACCACCATCCTTCCAATGTGAATTTTTTTCCAAACTGTATAACAGTTACAAAGGCTACTATTTTTCCCTGAGATTGTGATAGATAATAAGTTTAGTGCCAATGTATTCCATGAACAAAATAACCAGAACTCTCCCACCCAGTACACAGAAGGGATTCCAATGTCATCGGAACCTCCTTCCACATTTTTTCTATAGATATCAAAATGTTTTTGGGGTCAAATTTGCTTTTCTCAAATGATGGCACTAGGTGGACTGTCACTAGTGCAGGGCTGGCTAGCACTAGTCTATACACATTCTTCTGTAGTAACTGCCAATCAAACTCCCCATGTCTGTCACAGCTTCCATTACAGTTCCCTGACGCGCAGGTTCTTCAGACGTCTCAAAGCCATATGTAAAATGCTCTGAAAAAGAAGTACCAGTAAAATAAAATTAAGTCTATATGTAACTTTATATGCACAAATTATATTGGATCCTTCCATATTAGTTCTGTGCAAGCAACACTACATCAGTATAACAACATTATTGCCACACAAAACAAACAAAAATAAAAATAAAAATGTGAAAAACAAATGACCAAATACAAAACTAGATCTATTAAGAGGACTGCCGCGCTGAATTTTCAACAAATATTTTCAAAAATACTTGAAAATTTGAAAAAAAAAAACTCCTGTAATCTTGTAGGCTTTGGCAATCCCATGACATATTTCTGATAAATACGTAAAAATAAAGAAGTTATGACTAAATCTCTGACCCCCTGCTTGCTGCTCCAGTTTACTTTGTCGCGTCCGAGCAAATATACTCGACAAATTTGTTTTATGGGAATTTTTTCAATTTATTTTGGTATTCTCTGGTAGCTATCTGGCAATTCTGTTTACTCCATCAGATGATAGCCACAACTAGAGACAAGGCGGGCAGTCACCACGAGAGAGTCAGAGGGAGAGGTTGCGCATCTCCTGTCATCCCATAGACGTACCCCTGATGCACCCTCATCACAAACTAAGGGGACACTACTAATGATAGATGTTATTCCTGTAACTAATAAACATAATATGATGAGAAATACATCTCAATCACAGCTGCAGCCGTTGTTTATTCGTATGAAATGCCTCGCGAGGTACTGTAAAGTCACTGTGAAGCCTGTGATGACACATGGTACTTCTACAATCCTGTGCAGTTATTGCCATTCATTAGTACCTTGCAAAAGAGTGGGACCAGGTACCAGCTACACTTCAGAATACCATGTCAATACCATAGAATTCATCAAGATTGATGCAGAGATCAGATTTCTAAAAAAATGAAAAGAAAATAGAGGAAAAAGTATCCTCAACTTCAAAGCCTGATATCTAAAAACTACACATTTGTCAACATCTTTTTTAATGTTTCCATAACTACTTGGGTTTGGATCATTTGAAAGCTGAATAAATTTGCAATTTCTAGCCCAAAGCAATAATCATTTTAGGTGATAGAAGTTCATATATTATATTTTATATTCATAAGACTGAACATTTAGAAAAAAAAAAATCCCACTAAATAAGGAAATTGCAAAAATCATACTGGGCAAAATTTAGTATATGCTATAGAGTATGGGTATTTTTCAACAATTTCAGTTAATATAACTGCAACATAAAAAATTTTTGATTCTTTAACTTGTTTTTTTCAATAACTTTATTGTTTATTATATCCAAATGATATGAAACTTTGTGGTGTAAATCTCAGCACATGTATATATAATATATTTAAAAATCATGAAAATCTAATATATTTGAAAAATTGCAGTCTAGAGTGCCCCTTTCCTTTACTAATGAAAGATGAGGATAGACAACAAATCCTGTTCTTGGAGAGGAATTGGGCAGCCACACTTTCCCCAAACTTCATTCAGAAATAACGAATGTTAGGCATCTTGGGGGGAAATAAAACTGAACTTGACAATAATGTTAATGTCATAAAAAAAATCACACTGGCTTATTGAGGTAAAAGATACCTTAATGGGAGCAGCTGGCCCAAAGGCACTCTCAAACACTCCTACAAAAGAAGGAGGAGAAACTGAAATAGTACCCAAAGCAAATGAAGAATTAAAAGCAAAAGAAAAAAGAACCAGCAAAATTCTATCATAGGAGGATGAACTGAAGGATGAGAATTTTTACTGAAATAATGGTGACAAGTTCATAGACAAAACATCCAAAGTAATGAATGTAAAGGACACTTTCCTGAATGTAGAAATGTCAAACTAAATGACAAGTGACCAGACAAATAAATAGAAAAATGAGACAGAAACCAATCATTGAAAAAGAAAAGTCCTTGCATCTTAACTCAATTGTAAATTCAAGCATGAAATGAAGGTATGCATGTTCAAAGGTGTTCTAAGAAGAGCTCCTGAATATGTATTTATTATATAAATTGTTAGTTTAACTGCAGTAATCACAAGATTGCACTGTATTAATTTGAACATACTGATGCTCATGTTATAGACGAAGGTTACTAAAAAATATTTAATCAAATTCATTTTGGGACAACTTGTCTGAGAACACATTTGGACACATCCTTAAAAAGAATCTGGAAAAAGATACTGGAAAGTTAATCACTATACCTCTACTTGCACATGAATTATATAGAGAGTAAGAAAAAAAAAAACTTATTTACAATATGAAATAAAGAAAAAAAGCAAATGCAAAGGAACAGTAATATATGATAGAAAACATTAATCAGCAATATGGACTTTGAGTTTATAGAATGACAGAATGCTGATAAAAAAGAGAACGGGAAACAGAAAGTCTGAAGGTCTAAATGATATGCTACTACATTTTCAGCAAAGGATAAATATAATGCACTACATATTGAACTTCATAGGAATATGCTATGAATTTTCCTTAAAACAGATTTCAACTGTGAGAACAGGAAATAGTTTTGAGGAGAAGAGGAAGAAGAGGAAGAAGAGGAAGAAGAGGAGGAGAAGAAGGAGAAGAAGGAAGGAGAGGAAGAAGAAGAAGAAGAAGAAGAAGGAGGAGAAGAAGGAGAAGAGGGAAGGGAGAAGAGAAGGAGAAAGAAGGGAGAAGGAGAAGAAGAAGAGAAGGAGAAGAAGAGAAGGAGAAAAGAAGGAGAAGAAGAAGAAGAAAGAAGAAGAAGAAGAAAAGAGAGAGAAGAAGAAGAAGAAGAAGAAGAAGAAGGAAAAGAAGAAGGAGAAGAAGAAGAAGAAGAAGAAAGGAAGAAGACAGAAGAAAAGAAGAAGGAGAAGAAGAAGGAGAAAAAATGGAGAGAAAAGGGGAAAGAAGAGAGGAAAGAAGAAGGAGAAGAAGAATTAAGGCATCCTATGTTTACGGCTGAATGTATGTAGACTGATACCTTACTATTGACCCTCACAAAGAATTACAAGATAGCATAAATATAAAGCAATTACATTCAAAACCAGAGAGAATAATATGAGTAAAAGATAAATACAAAATCAAAGAGAATATTATACGAGTAACAGGTATATACCAAAACCATACCTTTATAATAGTCCTCATTTTGTTTCAGGATCTCTACAAGTTCACTATTGGTCATGGGTCCCTGAGTTCCACCTAATTCTTCCGGTAACTCATTAGCTGGGATGTGTTTGTG